TTCTCTCTCTCTCTCTCTCTCTCTCTCTCTCTCTCTCTCTCTCTCTCTCTCTCTCTCTCTCTCTCTCTCTCTCTCTCTCTCTCTCTCTCTCTCTCTCTCTCTCTCTCAATGTGTCTGAGAGTAAGACACTTAGCTCCCATTTATCGGCATGTCGTCGCCAATAATGTATTACAGATCCTGTTGAAAATATTTCTAACAGATAGTCTAAGAAAAGCATAATTTGCAAAAGTAAATATTAATATATACAACGTTATTTGTATATTACAGATTAGGATTTGCATAAACAACAGTATTATTTGTCTTTATGGACGAACCCCTTTTCCGTCACAAATATGAGATCATTTGTTATGATCAAGTGTATTATAACGCATTCAATTCTAGGTGAAACTGGGGGAAAATGACGTGCTTGCGATTTAAGTCTCATTTAAATGTTAGACAAAAACACGCTTAGGCAACGTTTAAAATTGCAAAATAAGCCTTATGAAAGGAAGTAATAAAAGATAACAAAATGTACAGTTAGACATTGGGAAATCTTTTCAGATATAAAACCTGCCGTAATTGGACTGCGGAAAAACAAAAGCATTCGATCAAAACAATGATATACAAAAATAATAGCTCAAAAACATAATTTTATTTGACTATTTCATATTACAAGAATAAAATCTTCACCCTATCCTATGCAGATTTGATGACCGTTAGATATTCATTCATCTGTTATTATATGGGTAATTACTGAAAGCGTAATGTATCCTATACTGTTCAATCTTGTGACACAACAATCTATACATTTCTAAGTAAATATGGATTAATTATACGCATAGCTATGCGCAAATAATCAATTTTTTCAAAACAATTTTCCAACAGTTGACCATGCGAACATCCTAAAGGACAATTCTCTTTTATCGCTCGTTATTTACTATTGGAAAATGACAAATGTTAGCATTCTACTTTTAGATTAAAAAGTAATCCAGTATTCATAAATATCACTCAAAAGTTCGATTCACAATATGGAAAATATTTTGAACATCATCGAAACCCATTAGCTTATTTCAACACTTAAAAATGAAACTAATAAAGATAATGGTTCATCATGTTGACAGATACACTTGACGTTTTAGCAGAAAGTCAGAAGCCACTCTATTTTCGTCAATTCTCTGTTATCACAATTATATACGAGTATTTTCGAAAATAATACAGTGGAAAGAAATTTAAGGATATTTCTTTAGCTCAAATGTACCACAATAAGAACGGACTCAAAATGCCATGTTAATGTTTCATGAACGATTGTCCCAAAAAGGATCGAAGCAAAATATAGATTACAGTATACTCCTTCCAACCAATCGTGCTCGTCCAATCAAAATATAAAAAGATCATTGTACACTACATATTGTGCACCCGACAGATGAAATCCTAGTCAGCTCATGGGTCAAATGATGACGGGTCAAGGAGTATTCGCTCTTGTAGTTATTGTAAATTGTCATATCTTCGTTTCATCGCATAATTCAGCGGAACGATTATACAATGACCTTCTCCTAAACTACACAAAGGGAGTTCGTCCGGGGACGGACTATAATCATTCACTAAACGTAGAACTCTTTCTGACGGTCAGTACATTGTTAGAAATAAATGCTGTCGATAAAATCATGTCTGTCAATGGATTTTTCAATATGCTGTGGAGAGACGAACGGTTACAGTGGAATAAGACCGAATACGATGGACATTCATCCATTCTGATAGATCCAAGTCTACTTTGGACGCCAAGAATTCTGTTGATCAACCCTGCTAGGCGATTTCAAGTGTTCGGTACTTATTCGTCTGAGGTACGTGTGCAGTTCGATGGTTACGTGTTTTGGGTCGCTGGAGACATGATTGAAACAAATTGTAATATTAATATCCGAAACTACCCATTTGACATTCAAACATGCGACATAAGTATTACACCATTTGGATACACAGAAAATGAGGTGAATCTTAGTGTGTCCTTCTCAACGCAATTTACGGAATTTCCTCTTGGAAATGGTGAATGGGACCATGTACAAACTACAACTACTGACTGGTCTTTATCGGTTTACAACGTTTCAAACTTTACATTGCAATACAAACGAAAACACCACTTTGTGTTGACGAACATCATCGAACCTGTTCTTATCTTGAATGTAATTAGCTTAGCAGTTTTTCGCATTCCTCCAAATTGTGGAGAGCGAATTTCATTCGCCATTACAGTGTTTCTTTCATATATCGTATTTCTTACAATTATTACAGATAATATTCCCAAAACGTCGAGTCCAATGTCACTTCTGAGCTTATATCTGATCGCTAAAGTCTCCGTTAGCGCTTGCATAACGGTATCGACTGTTTTTATTGTACAGGTCAGTCATAAATCACCACGTACTCCAATTCCAGAAAGAATTTTATACCTTTTAGCAAAGTCTAACAAAATGCAGAATGCTGAACCTAAATGGGCTGACAATGACGGAAATAAACTGGATAATACAAGGACGAGGACAAAATCAGGACGTGCAGAACTAATCACTGGAGAAGACGAAGGAAGAGGATCTTCCTTAAGTACTCATTGTAGTCACATTGGGTCCAAACAACCTACATGGGAAGAAGTTGCAATTTACTTTGATAGAGTTCTGTTCTTTTTCTTTCTCTCCGTGATGCTTCTTTTTACAGTATTATTATTCACTTTCATATGTACCAATTTAAGAACTGGAGATATATAAAATATGCTAGGGTTAGGATTCTGAGACAGCTTATCATTCCGCACATAGGAACATGAAGTTTATAAATGAAATATACATGATACATGAAATATATAGATGAATTATGACTTCTTAGTAATATACGTCAATTAGATTGCAAGGGAATATCTAAGTGAGTTTATTTGTTATTTTAATTTCAAGTTGTACAATCTGCTTCATTATGGTGCTTGTACAATTTGGTTACTTTTCCTCTCAATATTATAATTCTAAAACCTGGTTACACAACTGGTTAATTTGTAAGTGTTGAAAAAGTAAAACACTGCGCTATATGGTTTTAATGTGAGCTTTATGATTTCGTTTATTATATAGGCTCTGATGTATATTTTATACTTGCGTCTTAGAAACTATTATGGTCATAGTCAGGAGTCTGCTTAGACTGCAAAACACGTCATTTGTAATAGGACAAACTCATCTGACTCGTGATAAATCCGCTGAATGATTTAATCATTCTGCACCATGCCGTGGTGTTGAATGAAGCAAATAGTCTATAATAATTGTAATTTGATCATGTTGGCTTAAGAGTTTGCACATGTCAATGTTGAGCATGGAGCATGCAAAATATCTGACAATTCAGAGGATTTCGTACATTATCGAAACTAATTTTCAGTTAATAGTGTTTATATACGTATCACGATGCAATTAAATATGATTCGCCTAAACTATAAGTTAATCCTTCACTTGGTCTAAATTCGCATTATTATTGATGCAAAAAAATGCAAACACTTGATTAAGAATATTTGTTTGCTCAAGCAAAAATATCTTTTGCGCTTATGTTAACCTGATATTGGATTTATCTTAAAATAACCAGATCTCTCTATGCATCCTTTGGATAAATGAAGGAGTAATAGTCTGATTCGTCATAATATACCTCTAACAGCACCATCGTTCAGTCAAACTGATAGCAGTTGTAGATATAACATATTCTTAAATCAAACAATGTCTAATACCATTACAATGTGCCTCCTTTATGTCCTTTTAGTCAGCTCAAATTATGTAAGCCTCTTTTTGCAAAATTTCGTAACCCATCTAAAGTTTTACATCTAAGGATTTGGAGGGTTTGGGTCTCTTCGTGTGGTTTAATGCCAGTACAAAATTAGTCTTTCTCGTTTTAAGTAAACACATTTTAACATTACCAGTATTTACAGAGGTCAATGTGCTTATGGTGTAAAGGGGTTACTAATCAATTATTTAAATGATATACCATTTTGAATCCAATGGCCTAAAGCTAATTAAAATGAACTGTATGGTTAAACATAATTTGATCGATATGTCTTTGTATGTCATTTAAAATTTTAATCACTTTTAGATAATTATTTCATTTTGTCATTCTAAATTTAACTCTGACGCAACATTCATTTAGAGTATATATATATATATATATATATATATATATATATATATATATATATATATATATATATATATATATATATATATATATATATATATATATATATACATTACCTTCAACTTGAAAATGATAATAAGAATAATGTAATGGTTTAAAGAACAAAGTTGTTACATATTAGTTCCTGTACATATTTATAACTTTTAACGAGTTTTATTCATACTATAATTTTCCTACATATCATTTACTGGTCACATATTAGAATTCGTTTAGTTTTATTGTGCATTGCATCGCATACAGAGAAGCATACAAAATACGCAATTCATTATCTTTTTACATCTATAGCAATGCAGTAATTTTATCCACTGTATGCAATTTCTCTGGGTTATTGGTTTTCGAATCAGCAAATGTTGAGATCCTGTAAATATATGTTCAAACTACCAGAACTGATTTTCCTTCTTCCACAAGATAAAGATGTTTCTTATTAAAGGACTTGCATCTGTTGAAGAATGAATTTTTCTTTTTAACATATTATCCGTATAATCTTTAGTTTGAGATATTGTTAACAGAACAAGGAAAGCAAAGCCTCATTGCAGACCAAAAATCATAGGTCACGGTGTTGAGATATATTACGAGTTTGCGTGTGTGTTTGTATGTGATTTGGATTTTTAACGTAGCTTTCACAATTAACCGTCATATCGCTACGATTTCTACAATGTGGCAGTTTTTTCTTATGTCTAGCACTCTGGCATTATGCCGCAGACATGTGGCATCATATTCCACCCAGTCACATTATCTTGACACCAGGCCGACCAGTCCAAAAATAACCACTTAATCGTGAGCGCCAAGCGAATCAGCTGGTAGTACCATTGTTTTAGTCTTTAGTATGACTAAGCCGGGGATCAAACCCTCAACCTCCCGCATCCAAAGCGGACGCTCTAACTACTAGGCCCCAGGAGCGGTAGTATATTACTATATATGAGATAAAATAATTTGATCTTGAGATGAAAGTTTGACGAATTTGTTTCTCCTGATTTATATATAGTACGATTGGTACAAAATGCGTCACAAACTGAACTAATTTGCGTCTTCTTGACAACAAACGTGTTAGCTCGTGAGCTATTTTGTGTATGAAAGCATTCTGTCAGCATTGCATGTTATTCCGATGTTGACTATTTGTGTGCACTCTGTGTATATTTACTTATGTTTTGTATCAATACGTTGACTAGCATCAGTGCAAAGATGATTAATCAAATTTGTTTTGTTAGACATTCTGTGCCTTTAAACTCCATTAGTAGACAAATTGAGACAGACTCTGTTAACTGACAGAAATTGCAAATGCACATTAAATTATATTTTTGAAACTAAAAACTAATATTTATTATGGTGAAACTGAGAAAACCAAATGCCGTTCGTCTGAAGTTAAGATAAACATAAAATGACAATCAATTTAAATTCATTTCCAAAATGTACGTAAATTAGTGCCATGAGTTGATACAGGTCCCGTAATAACTGGACAATTAGTTGGAAAAAAAAATGTTAAATGCTTATGAAATAGTTGAGCTACCTTACAACAAAGCGGCTAAAAGAGGGAGAAAGAGATAGGGAAGAGAGTTTAACGTAAATTGCTGTTCAATACTGTTTTCCTAATATCTATAAGGATGAGAGGAAAAACTGTTTGAATTTTATTTCATCGTCATTATTTTGTTCACAGATAAATAGACTTCACTGACAGATATATATTTGCATACCTTGCCTGAAAAGAATTAACATCAACAAAGTAAACTTTCTTGTATTCATAGAACGATATATATCAATTGTATCGAACATATTTATGGATGATATAAAGGAAATCACATAGACTAATGCCATGTAGAAGGCACACAGAGAGATCTAGAACATAACGAACTCCAGTCGAATTTAATCCAAAACACATAACATTGTTCATGACTAACTCGTACGGTTTCGGAAATCGCCTGTTCATTGAAAAATAAAGATAATCTAAATTATACCAAGCAATGTTGAAACCAACATCATTTCATTTAGCAAGAATTTTTTTATGTTCATAGGTTCATGAAAGAAAAGAACATGGCAGTTAATAAACAATGAGGTTCGTAAACAGCTACAGATTAATAGCACATACTGTGGGAAAACTGTCTACATATTTAAATGATGAAAACTACTCCAAAAATTTTTTTGAAAGACAATACACCGAAATGTTTCAAAAATACGTTTATCCAAATCAATATGTAGATTACATTTATAGGCTAGTCAATCGGCTATGCCACCAGTATTCATGATGTCATGCAACATTTCAACTTTGAAACATTTTCGAGTTACATATGAATACATTGATGCTGTGTCCCATACTTACGTGGCCAGCGTATTATTCACAAAATGAAACGTGAAGGATCAATTGAATCTTAATAACTGCCCCCACTATCTAATTCAGTGGCTTTGTTACAATGCCTTTTAAATGAGATAATACGTAGAAATATCTTGCAGTAATGATGAGTTTCAGTTCCATTCATATTTATTGCCCATGCTAATAGATGTCGACAGTCTTTGTTATAATCTTCAATAAACAAATTAGGACAGAAATATTTTCCATGAAATGTTAGGCATATCTTATAATATTGTCCCGGTTTTATTCCTGTCAATAATAATGGTACGAAAAATTGAACGAAAAGATGGCGGAAAAGGGTAAAGAATTATAAAAGCATATGACATCTTGTACATCGAGATTAAATCAACAAAAATTCAAAATGCATGCTACTGTCACGAACACAACTGTTAAATACAAAACATTTTCTCAAATAAATACCAAATGAATGTAATGTGCACACCTTATTTGTAAAACGATAAATCCTACATAATATTCAAAAGTATTGAAAAAACTGCACACCGTCTTATCACGTGTATTTAAAATAATTTCGAATATTAATGCGCTATAATACACAGAAAGTTGGTTTTCTCATTGTACTCACCATGTACGTCCACATGCTTTCTTAGTCTTATTATACAATTGTTAAATGCCAATCTTTAATTCCCTTTTCGGAATGTTTATACAATGGTTATTTAAAACCTTCTGAATATTGCTCTTACAAAGTGCTTTATTAACGAACTTTATATGTATAAATCCCCCAACAAAAGAACTCCCCAAAGTCATCCATTCAATGTTATCCTCCTCTATATCCCCTCTAAGTAACTCTCATGTACATCCCCTCTAAGTAATCCTCCTATAAATTCCCTCTAAGTAATCTTCCTCTACATCCCCTCTAAGTAATCCTCATGTACTCCACAGTACAGTCCCTACAAATACTCATCCAGTACATCTCCTCCAAGTACGCATCTAGTACATCTTCTCCAACTACTCCCCGAGTACATCCATTCAAAAAACTCCCCATGCACGTCTAAACACATCCTTAGTATGAGTACCCAATTATTAATTGCCATTTTATATTCAATGTTTAGTATGTTGTTCATAAACGTGGAACTGCGCTTTCAAATGCATGGTGGATTTTAAATCAGCTGGCTGTCAGTAAACATTTAATATTGGGATTCAATCTTTTTACAATGGGTATTTAAAACCTTCTGAATAGCATTGCTCTTACAAAGTGCTTTATTAACGAACTTTACATGTGTAAAGCCCCACCAAAAGAACTCCCCAAATTCATCCTTTCAAAGTAATCCTCATGTACATCATCTCTTAGTACTCCACAGTACAGTCCCTACAAATACTCATCCAGTACATCTCCTCTAAGTAATCTTCCTCTACATCCCCTCTAAGTAATCCTCATGTACATCCCCTCTAAGTACTCCACAGTACAGTCCCTACAAATACTCATCCAGTACATCTCCTCCAAGTACTCATCTAGTACATCTTCTCCAACTACTCCCCGAGTACATCCATTCAAAAAACTCCCCATGCACGTCTAAACACATCCTTAGTATGAGTACCCAATTATTAATTGCCATTTTATATTCAATGTTTAGTATGTTGTTCATAAACTTGGAAACTGCACTTTCAACTGCATGGTGGATTTCAAATCATCTGTCAGGAAAAATTTAATTTCGGGATTCATCTTTCATCACTTGAAGTTAAATCAAGGCTATTTGGAGGACGATGCAAAGTTTAAATCCTGTAGTCCTTCAGGTAGTCTTTGAAGACGGCGAAGTTTTGTCAGAGAGTGGACGGATACCTCGAGTACCAGTGCACGAACAGCAAGTTCAACAGTGTTCCACTGCCTTTGGAGGCGTAAAACGATCCAGTGATACACACATAATAAGGTAAAAGTACCTGGACGAAACGGTATTTTGTATCGAAAAATAATGCGAATTACACACTCTTGACAGTTCCACTACTTTTGAGTATCTGCTTTCTCTATTCGTTTTCTCCAATCCAAACATTATTATTTTCTCTTCATTCGGGTTGAGAAAAATAAATCCATGTCACGTCACCCGTGACAATCTCATTCAGTCTTTTCATGTTTCCTGAGTATTTATTTGGCAATTTAAACTGAACTGTGTTTTGGATCAGAAGTCAACAAATGCGAGACCCATCGTACAATTCTTAAGAGATTCAAATGATTTTTAAAACATAATACCGCCTGAGGAACTTAATGAAAATATCTTTTAATATTTTAGAGCATCTGCTTAAATTGTACCCTTCACAGCAACCACTTCCCAATCAACAAACATATAAATCTATCTCAGGGTTCGGAAACATATTTTACAGAGCGTGCCATTTTCCGGATTAATTTCAAAATCATCGAGTGCGTGATACCAGTAAAAAGTAACATTTAAGATCGAGTTTTTGCTGCTCGTCGCGTGTCTTAATAACAGTCAAAGTATACTCGACAAACATCCCTAATGTACATTAAGCTCTTTGCACAGTAGCAGAATCATCCCCTTCTCTGACATTTTACTGCATGCTCATTGATCTATGTTATGTCACATGTATATATCTTCAGGTGCCCACTTTTCCGAAAGTGAAGCTGCATATCAGTTTCATTTTTCGTTTTAATCTGTTTGAAATTCATTGACAGGTTTAAGGAAATTACTTAACAAAGCATTCAGAACTTTTAAAATGCCACTAGAACACATTAGTGTCAATATTATAAAACGAAACTAAAGCTAATACCTTTCGAAAATTTTAATTTCTATATCGCACATGATGCAGACGTCTATTGTTAATTTTACTTCAGTCTTTTTGAGAAAAAGGCTGTTAGTCGAAAGAAGAATAAAAACAATTAAAGTTGATGATTTTCATATGTAAATAAAAATAAAAGCGATTACCAAAACCTCAAAAAGCAGCGCCACAAAAAGAAAGATAAAAAACATAATTCTATCGAGGCAAGCTGCGACCTCTTCCCACGTAGGTTTTTTGGACCTCGTAAAACTAGGACCTGTATTTAGACTACAAACGTTATCATTAGATTCTATTGATGCATTTCTCGATTTTTGTTCAGGTAACTTGACTCTCTCTAGTACATTTTCAACTGGTTCTGCCGATGTCTCTTGTTCTGGCTGAATTTTTCTGGTCTTGTGCATTAAGTTCACAACCCAATTCGAAATCGGAATACTTGGAGATCTGTGACTGACTTTCACTATGAAAACGGTTTCCATGGTTATGCACGCACTCAAGATGATTTGGATCATGAGCAATACACTTAGAAGTGACACTGGACTGGACGTTTGTGGAATATTATCCATGACAATGGTAAGAAATACAACATACGAAAGAAGGACTGTCACAGAAAAAGAAATCCGCTCTCCTGAATTTGGAGGAATCTCAAAGACCGCCATATTAATGATATTCAGGACAATAATAGGAGAAAGAATGTTTATCAGAACAAATTGGTATTTTCTTTTATAGCGCAATGTAAAATTTGACGCTTTGTACCCTTCTGACACCCAGTCCACATTGGTCAGTTTTACAAGATCCCATTCAT